AAAAAAAAAAAAAAAAGTTCAATCAATCAATTTAAACTTGCGGGGAAAAAAAAAGATCTCGCAAAGTTGGAATTGATAGATTGAACTTTTTAGTCCCACCCAGTCTGCCGTTACCACTGCAGCCACGCCCACCCGATGGGCCACGCCATACATAAGTGGGTTTTGGGTTGCAGTTTGGGCACTCGGTCTCTAAAAGGTTTGCCATCACTGGCTTAGCTGGACCAACACCAGCCTGCTTTCACCATTTGCTATTCCTCCACCTACTCTGCGCAACCTCCTGGTTAAGCCTGAGAGAGGTGGGTACAGGATTCGAGTCTCTTGGGCACTGGGCTGACCCTCACCTGCAGACTGCTGCTGTCGCAGGGAGAGGCACTGCTTTCCGCCAAAGGAGCCATGCAGATACAAGAACCCTCCATGCTCAGTCCAACCATGGCCTCCTGGTCACATTCAGCCGATCCCTTCACCGAGTTCTCATCCAGCATCTCCGGTTCGGCCATTTCCACCATCCTCTCCTTCCTGGGAGAGTCCAAGCAGGGCCTGGGTGCCAACCCTTTGGGGCAGGTCCCAGGGGTATCCGGTGAGGGAGACATAGCAGCCACCTCAAAGTGGGACCCAGCTGAGGGGATATCCTCATTTACAGGGGTCAGGCCCGCCCTGGGACTCCCCACCGACGTGGCCTCCGCTGCTGCTGCCAGCTCTTCCTGGAAGTTCTCCGGGGTGCAAGGGAGGCAGAGAAGGGAGCTCTGATAAAGTGCGGCCCCCCGGTAGGAGGAGGAGAGGAGCCTCCCGGGCGAGAGACTCCTTAACGGAGAGCATTCCACATAGGGACTCTTGCTGCTGGTAGGCGCCTGACGGCAGGCGTTGGAAACAGACGGAAGATCCGGAGAGCGAAAAGTGAATTGCCTTTGATCTGTGTTGTTGGGGAAAGGAAGAAAACGTCAGAGGGAGCATACGCCGAGTGTGCAGAACCAAAAGCCCTCTTGATAAGCTTGCTGGACCCTCCTCCTATCGGAGACGGGAACTGCTCCTTTAAGGACTGTCTGAACGGTGCTGTGATGACCCAGGGCCCCGAACGGAGGCAAAGCAGTCGGCTGGCAAGAGCAGCACTCCTTTAATCACTGCCAATGTTCCCCAAAAGCTCCCACATATGCTGGCAAGAGTTCAACCAAAGCACGCACACACATTCCTTTCAGCTGCCTCTGGCTAAAGGCAATTCCCACACAGCCGGGGAAGTTTACAATGCCCTCAAGGCAAGACAGATAACAAGAAAACTGTAAAGAGTCCTTTTAACTCTCAGCTTGCCTGCAGACTGCAAGGAGAGACTCAGGAATGCAGTCTGGGGCCGTGAAGCAGGAAACCAACCGGTCCGGAATCCAAAGGGTCCAGGTTAAAGAAAGACAAGAGCACAATTCACAACTATTTCAAGATACCACGTTTGTTCCCGGCAAATGCCCCACCCCACAGCGTCTCCTTAAATCTTAAATCCCCAGGTGTGCCTTGTGGAGTGGGGCGGGACGCTCTCCTCCCGAGCAATTGAGCCTGCCTCCCTTGTTCTCTCCTCCTCTCTGCTCTCCTTGCTCTAGGACAGTGGTGGCGAACCTATGGGGGAGGGGGAAGCACCTTTGAGACAACCATGACTGAGAATCTCCACAGACATGAAGTCTCAAGACTGCATTGAGGGCACCCTCACCTATGGATTGAACAGCCGTACGCCCCTAATAGGAAGCAAGACAGGGAACAGAAGCAACAGGAGGCACTGTGGACACCCCAAAGATTAAGAAGCGCCTCCAGACTGATCCCATCTGGTCCCCAGGAGGACGGCAATCCACCGTCAGGCCCCAGCCAGAAGCCTCTACAGAGCCAAAACATACCTGCCAGCGGAGTCTTTCTTAGCTGGATGCCAACCGGAGAGAAAATGGGGGACGCCAGATTTGCTGGACTCCTGTGTGCCAAGGAAGGACTAGGAAGGCTGCCCAAACTGTGCATCCTGGCATTCCCCCGGATGGGGCTGGAGGAGAATTGGCCCTTTCAAGCACAAGAAAGATTCCCATTAAAGAATGAGCCGCAGAATGCGTCTGTCATGGCTGCATCTCTCCTATCCAAGCTTCATGAGCTGTCAGCCTGACATTAGCGACGGGGGTTGGGGGTGGAGGGAAGGATCGGAATGCAAGGAAAAAGAGGGGGATGGAAGCCCAGCCACGCCTTGTGAGAAGCTTCAGCCAGCCAAAGTCAACTATCGATAATGCAGAGCTGGGAACCGAGAACTTCTTTCCTAAACAATATACAGTAGTGGCCAAAATTGTGGAAGCCTTTTGGGAAAAGTGTATTTTTGAGGTTTGATGGCTAATAACACCACTTTGTTTTGAGAGTAGTACCATAAAATTATATATCAATGGAAAGATAATTTAATCAAGAATGTAATGTTCAATTTTCTGTACTGTATTTCTATGAAAAGTGATAGCCAAATAACCAGAAGAAAAAGGAAACACAACTTGCTTAGGTTGATATCAGGTAGCTTTCCTTCTTCTGATTGTAGCCAATGAGCACGAGTGTTTAGAGAGCCAATCAGGTGTCATCTTCTTTCGGCAATGAGCCAATCAGATCACAATAGGATTCAGTTATTGATGTCATATACTGAAGCTGAGAGGAGGACATTTGTCAGTGTGTTATGTGATCGCTATCAAGTTGGTTGGGGGTTTTTTGGTGTTCTTTCATTTAGTGAGCTTGTAAAACGTAATAAAATTAAAATAATGGTGCAAAGAGTTGACTGGTTGCCCAGAAAGCGATGTAAAATAGTATTATTAAGTGAACAAGGCAACAGTTATAAAGAAATTAGAAGAAAAATGGGTGGAAACTTAACCAAAGGTGGCATTTCTACTGTATACTTTTCCCAAAAGGTTTCCACAATTTTGGCCGCTACTTTACAAGCACCCGTCCTAATTGGACATTTACGGATCTCTGGGGGATGGACGAAGAGGAACATTTACTTTGTAAACCTCAGATTCAGCTCACACTACTTCCTGTAATCACTTCGGCTTTAGTATACACTTGGCAAAAACAAATGGCCAGAGTCTTTCTTTGCTAGATGGCTATGGGACAGTGGACAGCATCTAAATCAGTGGTTCTCAACCTGTGGGTCGGGACCCCATTTGGGGTCGATCGACCATTTCACGGGGGTCGCCAAGCAAGGCTGTCCGCCATTTTTTTTGTCCGCCATTTTTTCCCCTTTTCCGGCAGGTGCCTTACCTCCCTTGGGCTGGGCCAGCTGGTGGTCGGCATGCTCCGTCTTTGCCGCTTGCCAGCTACGCCTCGGCCGGCGCAGGGGGCGGAACCACACATGCATGGCGCTCCCAGGCAGGGAAAGTCCTCGACTTACGACCGGTTGGGTAGTCCTCGACTTACAACCGGTTTAGTCCTTGACTTACGACCGGTTGGGGTCGCGGCATTAAAAAGGTTGAGAACCACTGATCTAAATCAACGCCAGGGGAAACTGGAACCCTCCAGCTTTCATCCCTCTGACAGTCTGCAGAAAGCAGTGGGAGTCGAGTTATCCACGACGGATGTCTTTGGCTCTTCAGCCCAAACCCAGCTGGGCTCATCCTGACCTACCACAATCACCCTGTGTTGATCAACGTCTCCCGGATCAGCTACTCACCGAGCTGGAAGAACTCAAAGGGCTCCTGCAGCGGACAGGAGAGAGATCGATGGAGTAGAGGACTCCCAGGGAGGCTGGGCTGTTACGTAAGCTGGGAGAAGGGGAGACGTTCTCAGAGAGGCTGCCGTTCTCGTCCAAAAAGAGCTTTCTCCTCAAGGACGAAGTGCTTAGGCTCTCCTGAGACTGATCAGCCGATTCCTCAGCTTTGAAATGGTCACCTGAGGAAGAGAAGAAGAGAGGCACGTGTGGCCATCACGATCAGTAACGGTAACGGGAGAACAGAGTTGGAAGACCTTGGAGGTCTTCTAGTCCCTGCAGGAGACTCTACACAGGGATGTCCTACCTTGGGAGCTTTTAAGATTTGTGGACTTCAACTCCCAGAATTCCCTAGCCCAGTGGTGGCGAACCTTTTAGAGACCGAGTGGCCAAACTGCAACCCAAAACCCACTTATTTATCGCAAAATGCCAACACGGCAATTTAATCTGAATACTGAGGTTTTAGTTTAGAAAAAAACAACTCACACATTAACATCTTTTGTCTTAAAAGAAAAACACAATAACAAAGCTTTCCAATGATACAAACAACTTTTTACTGAAAGGTAAAAGTTTGCATGTGGCATGCTTTTGAACAATTAATGTGAGGACTTCCGGTGGCAGGCGTCTTCGTCGGTCGCAGCTGTTTGCTGCCTCCCGCCTGTTTCGCGTAAAAGCCGGTTTGACAGCTAGCATCAGCTGTCAAACGGCTTGATACCTTTCCCCTGGGCATAAGGGGATAGGTGAGCTGCCCGGGGTAGGAGTTGAGTTCCCGAGTCGTCCTATATGGACGATGTAGGTGA